CTGTCTGGTCTCTACCTCCCCTCGTTCTCTACGAACTTGGTGGCGGGTGCTGACCTACAGGATGCAGGGGTCGACCAGTTCACCCCTGCACGCCGACGGGACACCCACTGCACGGACGCGGACACGGGTCGACACTTGACCACGTTCACACGTGGGCCGGGGTCGAGCCTGTACACCCTCACTGTTCCGTCTCCTCCTCCTGCGTCTGGTCAGGTAGCTGCGTCGGGTCAGGTGTTTGCTGCAGCGTCCAGGTCTGGTCCTGAGTCTGCCCCCTGCTCGTGTCGCCTCCTGTCCCACGAGACCCTCCTGTGGCACCACAGGATGGGTCACCCCTCCCTGCCTCGTCTCCGGGGCATGGCCTCTCGCCTTCTTGTCTCTGGCCTTCCCCGGTCCCTCCCTCCCCTTCCTCCGGGGCCTGGCCCTGCCTGTGTCCCCTGTGTCGAGGGGCGCCAGCGTGCTGCCCCTCACTCCTCCCAGTTTCCTCCGACAGAGGCCCCGATGCAGACGCTTCACATGGACGTGTGGGGCCCAGCCCGCGTTCGTGGACAGGGTCACGAGCGCTACTTCCTGCTGGTGGTTGACGACTACTCGCGTTACACCACAGTCTTCCCCTTGCGCAGCAAGGGTGAGGTCACTGAGGTGTTGATCGACTGGATCCGCGCAGCTCGTCTCCAGCTCAGGCGGAGCTTCGGCTCGGACTTTCCTGTTTTGCGTCTGCACTCGGACAGAGGCGGAGAGTTCTCCTCCGGCCTTCTGCGAGCCTACTGTCGGGCACGAGGCATCCGCCAGACCTTCACGCTTCCGGACTCTCCACAGCAGAATGGGATTGCTGAGCGCCGCATCGGCATTGTCATGGACGTCGCCCGTACGTCCATGGTGCATGCGGCTGCCCCCCATTTTCTGTGGCCGTTTGCGGTTCGGTACGCCGCACATCAGATCAACCTTCAGCCCAGCGTCTCCAGACCGGAGACCTCCCCAGCTTTGCTGTGGACGGGGAAGGTTGGCGATGCGTCGGCGTTCCGTGTCTGGGGATCTCGGGCGTTTGTCCGCGACTTGTCTGCGGACAAGCTGTCCCCTCGTGCTGCTCCTTGCGTCTTCCTGGGTTTCCCCCCTGACGCACCTGGGTGGCAGTTTTACCACCCCACCTCTCGTCGTGTTTTGTCCTCCCAGGACGTCACGTTCGACGAGTCGGTTCCCTTCTACCGGCTCTTCCCCTACCGCACTCCGTCCCTCCCCCCCCCGCCCCTCTTCCTGGTCCCAGGTCCCCCCCCGGTAGACCCCCTCCCCCCTCAGGGTCCTGCCCCTTCAGGTGTGTCTCAGGTAGACGCGGTCGAGCCTGTCGAGGTCACTGGTGACTCTGGTGCTGCTGCGGGTGCGGAGCCTCGGGGTGCTGAGACTGGGGGTGCTGAGACTGGGGGTGCTGAGCCTGGGGGTGCTGAGACTGGGGGTGCTGAGCCTGGGGGTGCTGAGCCTGGGGGTACTGAGCCTGGGGGTGCTGAGACTGGGGGTGCTGAGCCTGGGGGTACTGAGCCTGGGGGTGCTGAGCCTGGGGGTGCTGTGCCTGGGGGTGCTGTGCCTGGGGGTGCTGAGCCTGGGGGTTCTGCGTCTGGGAGTGCTGCGCCTGCTGCTTCTGTTCCTGGTGGTCCTCCAGACCGTTCTTCGCGCCGCGAGCCGCTCTCTCCTCTGGAGCTGCGTGAGTGGTTTGCCCGGCGCTGGAGGCGAGCTGCTGGAGCTGGGGGTACTGCGGGTGCTGGAGGTTCCGTTGCTGCCGAGGGAGCTGGTACCACTGGTCCCGGAGGTGCTCGTACTGAGGGTACTGGAGCTGCCGGGCCCGGGGGTGCCTCTGGAGCTGGAGCTGCTGCGGGTGCTGGCGCTGAGGCTACGACTGTCGGTCCTACTGCGGGTACTTCTGCAGCTGCTGGTGGTGCTGGAGTTGGAGCTGCTACTGGTGCTGGTGCTGCCTCTGGAGGTGTTGGTCCTGTCCCTGCTGTCTCTGGCGGTGCTGCGCGGCCTCGGCCGTACTTCATTCCGCTCCTTCAGCAGGTTCTTGGTCTCCCGCCTTCCACTGGTCCTTCTCCTCCCGTAGAGTGTCCGCAGCCTGTCCCGTCACGGTCACAGTTACAGCCCGCCTCTCCTCTGCCTTCTCCTTCTCCCTACGCTGGTCCTACTGGAGGTCTTGCTGAGCGTCGTGAGCCTGCGTCCCGCCCTGTGTCGCCAGTCCGTGCTGCTCGCACTAGTGGTCGCGGTTCGCGTCAGCGTCCTCCTCCTGTCCCTGGCACGCACCAGATGTCTCTGCGTCCGTCCACTGCTCCTCTGCGTGCCCCTTTGCCTTCTCCTCCTCAGTCTTCTCTTCCTGCTCTTGCCGACCCGGAGTCGGACTCTCACCATGCTGCCAGTCCTACTGTCACGCGTCTTCTTGCTACTCTTGTCACTGACCCTTCCTTTGAGTCCGCTGCTGCGTCTGCCCTAGTTGCTGAGCTGGTCGACTTTGCTGCTGCGTGTCGTCTGGACTACGCTGCCAGTCTTGTTGCTGAGTCTACTGAGTCTGCTGAGTCTGCGTCTGCTGCGTCTGCGTCTGCCTGTCCTCCGTCCGTCGGGGGTGACCGTGCTCTTGGCACGGACGTCCTTGAGGACAGGCAGGAGGAGTTCCAGTGCTTTGCCGCCGCTTTGCCCCATCTCGTGTCCATGCTTGTTGCCCCTAAGGGAGACCCGGATGCTCTAGACATCCCGACCCCACGCTCTTACGCAGAGGCGATGGCCGGTCCCTACTCCTCTCAGTGGCAGTCAGCCATGGACGCAGAGATGGCTTCCTGGAAGTCCACAGGCACCTACGTTGACGCTGTTCCCCCTCCTGGGGCGAACATTGTCAGTGGCATGTGGATCTTCAGGGTGAAGCGGCCGCCGGGTTCTCCGCCTGTCTTCAAGGCGCGCTACGTGGCTCGTGGCTTCACTCAGCGACAGGGAGTTGACTTCTTTCAGACCTTCTCCCCGACCCCGAAGATGACCACTCTTCGGGTTCCACTGCACGTTGCTGCTCAGCGTGACTACGAGCTACACTCTCTTGACTTCAGCACTGCTTTCCTGCAGGGCCGCCTGCACGAGGAGATCTGGCTGCGCCGCCCTCCTGGCTTCACTGGGTCGTTCCCTCCCGGTACCCAGTGGAGCCTCCGGCGGCCAGTCTACGGTCTTCGCCAGGCGCCGCGTGAGTGGCACGACACACTGAGGACTACACTTGCGGCTCTTGGGTTTGCTCCTTCTACTGCTGACCCGTCGCTGTTTCTGCGCACCGACACCTCGCTGCCGCCGTTCAACATCCTCGTGTACGTCGACGACTTGGTCTTTGCCACTGCGGACACTGCCGCACTCGCCCACGTGAAGTCCGAGCTGCAGAAGAGACACACGTGCACAGACCTGGGTGAACTGACAAGCTATCTTGGCTTGCGGATCACCCGGGACAGAGCACGCCGCACCATTACCCTGACTCAGTCACACATGGTGCAGCAGGTCCTTCAGCGCTTCGGCTTCACGTACTCCTCGCCTCAGTCCACTCCTCTGCCTACGGGACACTCGCTCTCAGCTCTGCCTTCGGATGAGTCCGTAGAGTCGAGTGGTCCGTATCCAGAGCTTGTGGGCTGCCTCATGTACCTGATGACTTGCACTCGACCTGACCTCGCATACCCTCTCAGCATCTTAGCACGCTATGTTGCTCCCGGCCGTCACCGGAAGGAGCACATGGATGCAGCTAAGAGGGTGTTGCGCTACTTGTGCAGTACGTCGGGCATGGGGCTAGTGCTTGGAGGGCGTGAGCGGCCTGTGCTCACTGGGCACTCAGACGCTTCTTGGGCTGACGACCAGGCTACTCAGAGGTCGTCTCAGGGTTACACCTTCAGTCTTGGCTCTGGCTCTGTCTCTTGGCGCTCTACTTGCTCTTCTTCGGTTCTCAGCTCCAGCTGTGAGGCTGAGATCTACGCCACGGCCATGGCTGCCCAGGAGCTTCGCTGGCTCACCTACCTGGTGACTGACCTTGGAGAGCGGCCTCGTTCTCCTCCAGTACTGTACGTCGACAACAAGGCAACCATTGCCTTGTGTGAGGAGCACAGACTGGAGCACAGGACGAAGCACATTGCTCTGCGCTACTTCCTTGCTCGAGAGCTGCAGCAGCGTGGTCAGCTTCGCCTGCGTTTCGTAGCCACTGAGGCCAACACTGCTGATGTGTTCACCAAGGCACTTCCGCCTCGTGACCATCAGCGCTTTTGCACTCTGCTAGGCCTTGTGCCCACTGGGCCTCACTTGCTTACCTCTTGACCTTGCTTGTACTGCTGCATATATATATCCTTGCTCTTGCTTGTTTAGCACTGTTATATATATATGCTCTGCTGCATGTGAACTGGCCTTGTGGCCTTGACCTTGTGCTCGGAATTTGTGTGGTATCCTTGAGATCCACCCTGAGCTTGCTTTGCTTTGCTTTGCTTTGCTTGACTGGTCTTGTGACCCCTTGCTCTCCCCCACTTTGCCTATGGGGGTGTGTCAGATGATTATATTACTGATGCATATATTTAGGCTGTAGTGGGGTAGCCCATAGGGGGTACAACCCAATTAGGGTTGGTACTTGTACTTGTTTCGTTTCATAGTGCACTCATTCCTCGCCTCTATCTCAACAGCATGCGGATGGGGTGCTGTGTTCTGTGTTGCGACATGGCCAGCAGGGTTGGGTACTGAACCGGCTGGGGGTACCGACATAGGTGCTTGCACCTGGCTGAACGGATGGATAGGGATGTGGTTGAAAAATGGAAAATGGAGGTTGGGCAGATGGTTGCTCTGGGTGTACGGCTGCCATCCACCATGGTTTAGGGATGCACTGGCCTGTCCCACGAAAGCGGCAGCTGGCGTGTGATAGTTGCCGAACGTGGGTCTAGGGTGCTGGTGGGAAAAGGGAGGTGGAGCCTGTGTGTGAACTCCTGCTGGCGCTGGGGTGGAAGGCTCGGGGAGGCTGCTGAGCACTACACGCCAGTTCCTCCACTCCGCCCACCGCTTGGCTTCCACAATCCTCTCAACCCAATCGAACTCAGACCCTCCAAGCACCTCCTATCCTCCTCGCTCAACTCCACCATTTTAGAACTGGAGATGGACGGTCGGCAGATGTGAGCGGCTGCTGCATAGGCTGTTGCGGCATCCAAGATCTCGGTGTACCGTCCCAGCGCAAGGAACTTGTTATTAGCGCTATCAATGCACAGTCGTGCGGCCCACTTACCTTCCTGTTTGCTTATACCTGTGTAACCTGAGCTAAGAGCTCGACCACGCGTCGTGTTGCGACTCGTCGTCTCAGTCCCTGCGCTGTGTGCAGGCACCACATTCACATTCGATGCTGTCACACCATGCCCAGCACCCATGGCCTCTCCAGCACCTCTGTTTCCATCCGTAGTACCCATCATGCCTCCAGCACCTGCATCATGCACCCTCGCTTTTCCATTGTCACTCCTCGCACCGACAGGTGTATCCCCCTCCACACCACCTTCACGCACACTGACATTCACTGCATCCGTCTCAACGTCAGCCACAGGACCCTCACCATGTGCACCTCCTATGCTGTCATGTTTGCCACCATTGTCCCCACCCATGACTACCACGGGTGCCGGAGCACCAGGTCCACCGTCCGGTGCCACATCACCATGCCCTTCCCCTACAGCGGCAGAGTCAACACCATGATGCGGAGGACGATCTAGCATAAGCTCCCGTAATTGCCTCTCAAGCTTGGCAATAGCCACCGCCTGACTCTTGTTGCGAACCTCCAGCCGATGCATCCGTTCTGCCATCTCTGCTCTCCACTCCCTATCCTCCACCTCATCACCAATCACATCGACCTCAGGTGGTTTCCTTATCTCATTGCCACAAGGGATCTCATGCCCTACTGCCGTGAGCTCGCCGATCAGCCGACCCTCTGCAAGAGCGCACACATCATCCCGTAACCCACGACGGTACGCCAATGGGCTCATGCTGAACCGCACCCCATTCTCAGCACCTTCGAAGCACGCCTCCACAAGCGCATGAATGTACTGGCAGACGAAGATGCCGCAGTAAAAAACGTTCTGCTGTAGAGGCATCTGCCACGCCTGCAATACACAACAGGCACATGGAGCGTAAAGAATAGCGGACAGGCATGACCATGGTGCATCATTTGTTAAACGGGGTTTGTTGAATGTACTATGTCACAAACGCACCGTGCACGAAGAGTTAAATCTCTGCACGGTCATGGGTACACAATGATGACTAAATTCATATTCTATGCATTCCCGATTAGAGAGTCGTAATGCAGTGCCGACACAGCTCTCCAGCCTACTGCATGACACCATATGCGTGAATACATGTTTCTATATCAACTTACGGAGCATCACAACATATCTGTGGGAGTTTTGACCTATACAACCATTATTTCATTGTATTTATAGCACTAACTAAACTACTATACTGTATCTGTCTTTCGCACGTAACGGTATGAGCTGTCAGAACATATAGCTTACTTGTTTGTGTAGGCTATAGTGGGGTATCCCATAGGGGGTACAACACATTAGGGTTTCCTATTTGTATTCACTTCACTTCATAGTCATTCATTCTCGTTCTTTGCTTTCACATGGAATCAGAGCAGGTTCCCTCCTAGGGACTGCTTCTAGGGCCCACCGAACCGCGCCCCGAGGCGCGTTTTTTTTTTAGCGACCCGTCGTGTCGCCCCTAGCGGCCCGTTGCGCCGCCCTTCCCCTAGCGGCTCCGCCGCCCTTCCCTAGCGGCCCCGCCGCTCTTCGATCGCGGCCCCGCCGCCCTCTGCTACGCGGCCCCACCGCCGCCCTTCGATCGCGGCCCCGCCGCCCTCGGCTACGCGGCCCCGCCGCCCTCTGCCACGCGGCCCCGCCGCCCTCTGATACGCGGCCCCGCCGCCCTTCGATTGCGGCCCCGCCGCCCTCTACTACGCGGCCCCGCCGCCCTCTGCTACGCGGCCCCGCCGCCCTCTACTACGCGGCCCCGCCGCCCTCTGCTACGCGGCCCCGCCGCCCTCTGCTACGCGGCCCCGCCGCCCTTCGATCGCGGCCCCGCCGCCCTCTGCTACGCGGCCCCGCCGCCCTCTGCTACGCGGCCCCGCCGCCCTCTGCTACGCGGCCCCGCCGCCCTCTTCGGTCGCGGCCCCGCCGCCCTCTGCTACGCGGCCCCGCCGAGCCGCCCAGCATCAGCCGAGCCGCCCAGCAACAGCCGAGCCGCCGCCGAGCCGCCGCCGCCTGAGCCGCCGCCCGGGCCACCCGAGCCGCCGCTGAGCTGCGGCCGAGCCGCCGCCCGAGCAGCCCGAGCCGCCCGTGCCGCCCAAGCCGCCCGAGCCGCCCGAGCCGCCCGAGCCGCCCGAGCCGCCCGAGCCGCCTGAGGAGCCGTGCTGCTGTTCCTGAGCTGTGTTCCTCTGCTGCTGACCTACCCGACTCTCCCAGCCCGGTGAGACTTTCAGCTGCTGCCATGGCCACCCCCAATGTTCTTACTTTTGACGCTGAGGGGAGGGCCATTGACTTTGCCGTCTGGATTGAAGACCTGCAGCTGTACTTACTGTGTGATGCGATAGATGAGGTCTCTCTCTTTGACTTTGTCTCTGGCGCTGTCCCTGCCCCACCTGCTGATGCTGACTCTGCCGTTCGCTCCAAGTGGGCGACCCGCGATGCTGCTGCACGTCTTGCTGTGCGTCGCCACCTCCCTTCCTCTGAGCGTACCCACTTTAGTCAGTGCAAGACCGCTCAGGCCTTGTACGACGCTGTAGTTGCACGCTACTCCTCCCCTTCCTCCGCTACCCTTAGCCGCCTCATGCTACCGTTTCTCTTCCCTGACCTCGCTTCTTTTCCCACTGTCGCTGACCTCGTTACCCACCTCCGTGCTAGTGACACCCGCTACCGCGCTGCCCTTCCTGCTGAGTTCCGCGCTGCGAACCCTCCTCCCATGTACATCACTCTCTACTTTCTCGTCACCCGTCTCCCTGAGTCCCTTCGTGTCGTTAGGGACCAGTTTCTCTCTGTCTGTCCCACCACTCTCACTGTCGACCTCCTTGAGGAGTCCCTGCTAGCGGCTGAGAAGAGTATTGTCGCTGTAGGGGCCTCTCGGGGTGACCCTCGCACCCCCATCTTTGAGGGGTGTGGTCCTTCCCCCCTGCTGCCCTCTGTCGCCTCTGCCGCTGCGGCCGACCTCACTGGTTTTGAGTCGGTCGGCGCGGCGTCTGCTGTAGAGGCATCTGCCACGCCTGCAATACACAATAGGCACATGGAGCGTAAAGAATAGCGGACAGGCATGACCATGGTGCATCATTTGTTAAACGGGGTTTGTTGAATGTACTATGTCACAAACGCACCGTGCACGAAGAGTTAAATCTCTGCACGGTCATGGGTACACAATGATGACTAAATTCATATTCTATGCATTCCCGATTAGAGAGTCGTAATGCAGTGCCGACACAGCTCTCCAGCCTACTGCATGACACCATATGCGTGAATACATGTTTCTATATCAACTTACGGAGCATCACAACATATCTGTGGGAGTTTTGACCTATACAACCATTATTTCATTGTATTTATAGCACTAACTGTGAAACTAACAGAACAGGAATGAATTGACTAAGTCAGAGTTGGGTACAAATACAACCCTAGCAAACTGTACCCCATATGTGCTACCCCACTATAGCCTACAAACATGCATCAGCCATAATAATCTGACACACCCCCATAGGCAAAGTGGGGGAGAACAAGGGGTCACAAGACCAGTCAAGCAAAGCAAAGCAAAGCAAGCTCAGGGTGGATCACAAAGTCACCACACAGTCCGAGCACAAGAGCAGGGCCAGAGGCCAGTTCACATGCAGGAGTACAGACATATATATAACAAAGTACAAGTAAAGTCAAGAAGAGAGCAAGTGAGGCAAGACAGGTACAAGACCCAGCTGGGTACAAAAGCGCTGATGGTCACAAGGCGCAAGTGCCTTGGTGAACACATCAGCAGTGTTGGCCTCAGAGGCCACGTAAGCAAGTCGCAACTGACCACGCTGCTGCAGCTCACGAGCAAGGAAGTAGCGGAGAGCAATGTGCTTCGTTCTGTGCTCCAAGCGCTGCTCTCGACACAAGGCCAGCATGGCCTTGTTGTCTACGTACAGCACTGGAGGAGAACGAGGCGGCTCTCCAAGGTCGGTCAGCAGGTAGGTGAGCCAGCGAAGCTCCTGTGCAGCCATGGCCCCGGCGTAGATCTCAGCCTCACAACTGGAGCCGAGAACTGAAGACGAGCGAGTAGACCGCCACGAGACAGAACCGGAACCAAGGCTGAAGGTGTAACCCTGTGACGACCGCTGCGTAGCCTGGTCGTCAGCCCAAGAAGCGTCCGCGTGGCCGGTAAGGACCACTGGACTCCGCCCTCCAAGCACTAGCCCCATGCCCGACGTACTGCACAGGTAGCGCAATACCCTCTTCGCTGCAGCCATGTGCTCCGGTCTGTGTCTCCCAGGAGCAACATAGCGTGCAAGAATGCTCAGAGGGTATGCAAGGTCAGGTCGTGTGCATGTCATCAGGTACATGAGGCAGCCAACAAGCTCTGCATACGGACCACTCGACTCTACGGACTCATCCGAAGGCAGAGCTGAGAGTGAGTGGCGAGTAGGCAGAGGAGTGGCCTGAGGCGAGGAGTACGTGAAGCCGAAGCGCTGAAGGACCTGCTGCACCATGTGTGACTGAGTCAGGGTAATGGTGCGACGTGCTCTGTCCCGGGTGATCTGCAAGCCAAGGTAGCTGCGCAGTTCACCCAGGTCTGTGCACGTGTGTCTCTTCAGCAGCTCGGACTTCACGTAGGCGAGTCCAGCAGTGTCCGCTGTGGCAAAGACCAAGTCGTCGACGTACACGAGGATGTAGAACGGCGGCAGGGAAGTGTCGGTGCGAAGAAACAGCGACGGGTCAGCAGTAGAAGGAGCAAACCCAAGAGCCGCAAGCGTAGTCCTCAGTGTGTCGTGCCACTCACGCGGTGCCTGGCGGAGACCGTAGACTGGCCGTCGGAGGCTCCACTGGGTGCCAGGAGGGAAAGTCCCAGTGAAGCCAGGCGGACGGCGCAGCCAGATCTCCTCGTGCAGGCTACCCTGCAGGAACGCAGTGCTGAAGTCGAGAGAGTGAAGCTCGTAGTCGCGCTGAGCGGCAATGTGCAGCAGCACCCGAAGAGTGGTCATCTTCGGGGTGGGAGAGAAGGTCTGAAAGTAGTCAACTCCCTGCCGCTGACTGAAGCCACGAGCCACGTAACGCGCCTTGAAGACAGGCGGGGAGCCCGGCGGCCGCTTCACCCTGAAGATCCACATGCCACTGACGATGTTCGCCCCAGGAGGGGGAACCGCGTCAACGTAGGTGCCTGTGGACTTCCAGGAAGCCATCTCTGCATCCATAGCTGCCTGCCACTGAGAGGAGTAGGGACCCTCTACGGCCTCCGCGTAAGAACGCGGAGTCGGGATGTCTAGTGCATCCGGGTCTCCCTCAGGGGCAAGCAGTACAGACGCGAGATGAGGTGAAGCAGCCGCTAGACACTGTAACTCCTCCTGCCTGTCCTCTAGGACGTCCGTGCCAAGGGCACACTCACCCCCGACGGACGGAGGACAGGCGGACTCAGACTCAGCGACAAGACGAGCAGCGTAGTCTAGACGACAGCGCGCAGCAAAGTCGACAAGCTCAGTGACAAGGGCAGACGCAGCAGACGACTCGAAGGAAGGGTCAGTGACAGCAGTAGCAAGGAGACGCGTGACAGTAGGACTGGCAGCACGAAGAGAGTCCGACTCCGGGTCGGCAAGAGCAGGAAGAGAGGAAGCAGGAGGAGAAGGCAAAGGGGCACGCAGAGGAGCAGTGGACGGACGCAGTGACATCCGGTGCGTGCCAGGGACAGGAGGAGGACGCTGACGCGACCCGCGACCACTAGCGCGCTCAGTACGAACAGGCGACGCAGGACGAGACGCAGGCTCACGACGCTCAGTAAGACCTCCAGTCGGACCAGCGTAGGGAGAAGGAGCAGGCAAAGGGGAGGCAGGCTGTAGCTGTGGCTGTGACCGAACAGGCTGTGGACCCTCTAAGGGAGCAGGAGGAGGTGCAAGACCAAGAACCTGCTGCAGGAGCGGAACGAAGTACGGTCGGGGCCGCACGGCGACACCAGAAACAGCAGGAACAGCACCAGCCCCCCCGTCAGGAGCACCCACGCCAGCAGCACCTCCAGCAGCACCTCCAGAAGCTCCAGAACCCCCAGTAGCAGCACCAGGAGCACTGTCAGTCGGACCACCAGCGGCAGGCTCAGCGCCAACACCCTCAGCAGCACCAGCTCCAGG